ATATATATATATATATATATATATATATATAAATAATGTTTCAAAGTTTTTTATCTAGAAAAAATATTAATTATCAAAGTATTAAAATTAGCTATTTTAAAAAAAAGTAAAAAAAATTTTATATAGATATTTGCTTTAAAAAAGCAAATTATATTATGATTATATTTTACATATCATAATTGCATTTTAGATTAATTATACATATATTATTAACTATTCATATGTTTAAAACTGCTATTAAAAATATTTCATACCATAATTATAAATTAATTAACTATATAATAATTATAAATTAATGTTTGACAATGATTATATGATTATAATGATTATATAACATAGAAGATATATAATAATATAAAATATAACAAAAAAATTTCTTATTTAAATAGAGCTATATTTAAGTGAAATTTTAATATAATATTAACATAAATATACTACAACTATTTTATAATCTGTACCTGATATATGTTTCTTCCTTGTTTGAGCTGTGCAATTATTAAACGAAATAATTATTGGTGTTATATATACCTTATTTAAAAAATAATTTTTAAAAAATAATCCTAATAACTAATAATTCAATTAAATTATAAAATTTACACACCTGTAACAAATTCTTTTGGTATAGGATTACGAGATGTTGTAGTTACTTTATATAAAGTAAAATCATCAATTCTTATTATAATACATGTTGTCATTAATTTAGCAAGCTGTTCTAAAATATAATTTTTTACTGGATTACCACTAGGATGTTGTGATTTTTTTTGTTCGTGAGTAGTTGTATTTACATTCTGAGATTGATTATTCTTTTCTAAATTTTCTCCTGTACCTTTTGTATTATTAACTAAATAAAAATAAAAATATTTTATTCATATTCAAAAGTTATGATTAAATATTCATTTTTAAAAACAAACCTGTAATATTTCCCTGACTTCTAATTAAAGGAGAATGTTGTGTTCTACCAGAATCAATAAGATCCATAAATTGACTTCGAAAAGAACTTAATGATTGCTGCAACCATTGACTATGAGGTGTAGCATTCTCTTTATATTTAGCCCAATGTTTTCTATCAGCCATTGCTAAATGATATGGATAATAATCAATTTGAAAACTAACTAGTGAAATTTGTAATGCACCACCATCTTTTAAATCTGGATGAGAAGATCTACCATCTAAAAAAAAGATAAAATAGTATTGTTATTGTTATTGTTATTGTTCATATTTACTTACTTCCAGCATCATCACATAAATGTAAATCAATTCTTTGACAAAGAAAATGATATGATGTTTCTACAACATCATATCTAGTGAAAATTTTAGAGATAGCAGTATTATATTGATTTTTAGTTCTTGATTGCTGAGATATTTGTGCTTGATATTCTGGTAATACCTTAAAATATGAAAATATAATTGAAATTTTTTATTTCTACTTTTTTTTAATTTTACATTTACGAACCTCTAATTTTCTAGCTGCTTTAGTTTTACGTTCTAAAATTGTAGCTTTTTCTATCAAACCACCTAAAGAATCAATAAAATGAAGAGCTGCTTTAAGTTGTGAATCTGTCAAAACCCATAAGAGATCATCTAATATAAGAATCAGTCTTGATCCCATAACAAAACAATCTAAAATGTAAAGATTATATAATTTAATATACTTAAAAATGATAAAAATAACAAATATATTTGTTATCAAAATATTCTTAATATTGTTATTAAATAGTTTTAACCTGATATTCTTTTTTTAATAGTGATTCGACAGCGTGCTTGATTTGTAAGTAAACGTAATGGTGTAAGATTTTTATCCTTAGTACTTTGTGCCTCTATCCTAACTGTTTGCCATTCTAATTCTTTAAAAATAAGTAATTGTCCACGATCAGGATCTTTTACTCTAGTAGTTCTTAAATCACACCGTTGCCAAGTTGCAGACTTTGATTCAACAATAATACGATTCATCTATAATAAAATAATAATTTTTTAATAATTTTTAAATAATAAATTTAATATAATATAATATAATGTAATATAATATAATATAATATAATATAATATAATATAATATAATATAATATAATGTAATATAATATAATATAATATAAAATAATATAATATAATATAATAATATGAAAACATTTCTATAGAAAATAAATATATTGCTATGTACCTGAACTGAAGCAATAAATGCAGGACTTTTGAATGTAACTGATACTGTATTAACAGTTACTGTTATACCATCAATTACTTTATGTATAAAAGAATATTTTGCAGGACCAGTATATGAAGATAGTCCTTGTGAAGAAGATAAATCTCTTAAATCTTCGCATGTTTCTACTTCTATATGAACTTCATCCAAACTCTATAAATATTAAAATTTAATCAAAATTTTCAAATAAAACAAACGTTAAATTTTATTACAATAAAACATATATTGATAAACAATTGAAAAAATATATAAAATTATATATAATGTATTTATATATAAAAGTATTTCATGTATAAAATATTTACCAAAAAAATAGGAACACTTCTTAACTTGGTCCATTGTATACGAAATGAAACTTTATTGCACCAAGCATTCGTTAGTCTAAGCCATGATGGCAATTCTAACAAATCGGTCAAAATTATTTCATCAAGTTCTAAATTTGTCAATTCACCTTCTCCTTTAAATGTACTTAAATTTATTTTATCTGCTGATAAATTTTTAGTAAACCTATAAATTTATATAAATTCATATTATAATAAATTCTTAATGAAATATAGTTATTTTTATAATAAATTTGATGTATTTATGTAAATTTACATGTAACATTGAAATATTTATAATGTAAATATAATAAAATTGATAAAAACTTTTTATCAAAATTATCTACATATTGTTCACAATTATGAATAAAGAAGAAATTACCAAGTTAATAATAATAATAATAATAATAATAATAATAATAATAATAATATTAATAATAATAATAATAGTTAATAAAATAAATGATCTACAAATGATCTATAAATGTTTAACTTATTAAGAATAATATAATTTTTAACTGTATATCGAACTAAAGATAATGAGATACTGATTTAATAATTTAACCATATAAATCATATAATTACCTCGATAAATGTTTTAATAATTGCTTTTTTATTAATGACACCATTTTTTACTTTCAATTGATTTCAAATAAATGGTTCAACATGATTAATTTGACACTATACATTTACAGTAATCACGAAGGTTCACACATGCCACGATTGTCGATGACTGATGACTTTCGACTCAAGTAGTCAGTTAGTAAGTAGATTACTACTGAATTTTTAGTTGCTTTTATTGGTTTTTTCTTCGATGTTTTTCTTATTCAAAGTTTATAACTTTCAATTCTAGGATCAACAAAATATATTTAATTATATTTTTAATCTGCATTTTTTTAATAAATAAATTAATGTAAATAAGTTCATGAAAATAAGAATAAAATTGACCTATATTAACACATACCTTAATACATTTATTTAATGTTGAAGAAATAATTTCATTTGTACGCACACAAAATGCGTTACAAAATTTATACGCAAATAAGGTCTATTTGTTGATCATTCTTCAAATTACATCTTTAAATATAATAAATAATGAAATAAATAAAATTAAATTATAGTATATGTAAAGTAGATAGATAATATATAAAATAAAATTGAATTTTATATTAATCTATTTTAAAATATTTATACTTAGAAATCATAATAGAATAGAAACACACACGGAAAATTTTAAAACATAAGTAAGTAAATGTATACTTACGATGAAAGTAGACAAATTGTTCCACTTATGACTTTATAAAGGAAAGATATACACTTACATTCGTGTTTAAAAATTTTTCTTCAATTTTTTAATTTTTTCGTAGTTTATAAAGAAAATTATTATATTGTTTATAAAATTATTTCATATAAATAAATTGTCACTTTCTTATAACTTTTTTAAGCAATTTAATAAATCAAATTGGTTAATCGTACATGTACATATATATTATAAAATTATATATTATCTCATTTTTATAAATTTTGTTTTAAATTTTGAAAATTTTAATGAGATATTATACAGTGATATATTATAATTAAATTAATATATTATCACATATATAATAAATTATCATATAATTACGATTTATGATTCTTGTTTCAATTCTATATATTTTAATTTAACTTAACCTAAAAAAATATTTTGTAACTAATATTTTAATTTAATACCAAATAAATAAAATATATATGAAAAGTTTTATATAAAAAAGTTCCAAGTAAAATACAAGTAAAATATAAGTAAAATAATATCAATAATATTTTGTGAATTATTTATAATTAATAACTTCATTATAATTTAATATATAGTGAAATAAATTAATTTCAATTACTTTATTTCTGTTTTTTTTGTTATAATTAACAATGACCGAAAAAAATCGTAAGTATTAAACAATATTAAATTAATTAATATATGTTCATTATACTATTATGATTAATTTATTTTATTAATCTTATAGAAAGTATATGTTTAACATTACCGAATAATATAACAAAAGAAATTAGTACACATGAAAATAATGAACAATATATCATAAATTTTCTACAAAATGCATTACCTTCTTCTGATATGGGTTCAATAGCAGATGAATTAAGAAAAGTAAGATTTCTTTTAGAAGAAAAAAGTAAAAAATAATGCAAAAAATTTAATATTGATGCAATTTAAAATAATAAGTATTTATATTATTAAATTATTAAATTATTAAAAATTTTATTATTAATTAAAAATAAAACATGATTATAATTATTTTATAGTCACTGATACTTGCAAAACATAGAAGTAAATGGGACAAGAAAAAAAAATGCAAAGGAAAATTATTAACTAATAGAAAACGAATGCAACTTGGTTTACGTAAAATTAGTTACAATAGTGATATGAAATATATAGATTTATTACCATTAATAAATTATGGTTAAATTACATACAACAAGTACTTGGTATTAAGTTTTTTACCAACATTCCAAGAGATCCAACTGATCCAAATTGGGAAAATATTAATCAACAATTAGTTAAAGTAGATTTTCATGGTGCTGAAATTTCTATTGTTGGATCAAAATGTCCTAGTTTGGTTGGATTAAAAGGCATAATAATTCAAGATACAAAAAATACCTTCAAAATTTGTGGAACAGATAATATTATACGAAGTAATTTAAATTTTTTTTATTATCTTTTTTCTTATAATGTATGCAAATAATTTATATTTATTTTCAGCAATACCCAAAGATGTTATTATCATGAATATTTATTTAAAGGAAGTAAAATTAGAATTCTTTGGAAAAGATCTTTCTATACGACCTACTGAACGAACAATAAAAAAGTTTAAATGTGGACGTATATATGAATTATAATAAAGTCTGCTATAAATTTTATTCAAAATATTATTTAAAATTTGTAAAATAAACTTTTCATTTAATATTTATAAATTAATTATATAATATATAAATTATTTCATTGTTAAAAAATGTATTAACAGGCAAAATATAATATTTTTTGAAAAAATAAAAAAAAGCATAAAGAAATACAAATTCTAATAAATAAGAATTATTTGTTGATATATTATCGATATAATATACTAAAGCATAATATTAAAAATAAAAACATTAAGTATTACACTTATATTACTACTAATAAATTGTTTTACAAGATTTGTATCCTAATAAATCATAAAAAGATATATATAAGAAAATAAAATTAATTTAAAATATATATTCAAATTATATAGTTGTTTATTGAAATAAATTTAATAATAATATTTCACATTTTATACTGATTTTCAACATTACATAAATGATTTTGATCATATATATATATATCATGTATTCATATATGTATTTATATATATAATTAATTAATGATTAATATTAGAAAGAGAAAAGAAGTATATTTATTCCTAAATTTATTAATATTTTATTTTAATTCACAATATCCAACAATGATACAATTACATTACTATTTGTTTACAGAATGATATTAGATACAATTTTCAATCTACAATTTCATTCATTATATACTTTCAATGAAAATGAAGTGATTATTGGGAATGTTAGATTTTTCTTTCATCATCTAATTTTAACATTTTTTATTTAATATATGCAGCTAAAATTACTGCAGTCATTAAATATCAAACGAAAGTGACAATAATTAATATTACTATTGCAATAAAAATTGTTGTTCAAATATTGAATAATATACTTTTCTATTATCAGTATAATATTATAATTTTTTAATTTCCAACTTTCGTTTTATATTTATGAATAATGAGAATAATTTATAAGTATATTCACGTTTTTTTTGAAATGTGTGACAAAAGAAAATGTCACTTGAAATATGTTATGCAATAATATAAGATTTTAGGAACATTAAATGTAAGATATGTCAGAAAAAATACTATTTTTCTAATATATCTTTTACATTGATCCTGATTCATTAATAAAGCATTTTATACAGATGATTTGAATCATTTAAGGAGCAGAAACGTCAACAAATACGATTCTGTCATGTCTTCTACATATACATTGGAATCTGACTACCCAATTTGCATTAATACTTGTATTATAATTTCATTATACATTAATACAATGATATAACGAACAATACATCCAAATAGAATACTATACATACATTGTATAAATCAAATATAAAAAAAAATTGAAATTATATTTCTAAAAACTGAACACGTTAATAAAAAGAAACAAAATTATTACTTAGTGTATATACTTTATAACACTTTTGAACTTTTACAAATGTTACGATATTTTAATTTAATATGTATAAAAAAAAAAGATAAAATAATATTGTAAGCCAGCATAAATAAGTCTTAGTACATATATCTATACATCAATATGACGAGATCGTTATAAAGTTTGTTATGTTTTCAACAGAATAAATACTTTCTCTGTAAGAATATATCAGAGAGCTACCTTCAGTATTATTCTTTTTCTTTTTTTCTTTTTTAGAAGAGCATATAACATTACTATTCTATATTTCACATTGACTGCTTATACTTATCTGGACAAATGCTATTAAATTTGTTATTATCCATGCCACAACAATAACACACACAGATACTAAACTCAAATATATAATGATAGGCATATAAACATATTTTATATTTTACTATATTTAAATTTCTAGATACATTACATACAGTTTACAAAGTTTTCAGCTTTGTTTTTTGTTTATTGTTATAATTGTTGTTATATTGATGTACTGATATATGTCATTTAATTTATTTATCTTGTTAAATATTTTGAGACTCATACATTTGATTGTGACAACAACATCTTTAATGAATCTAGATAAATAGATTCTTTTTTATTACTACAAATTATATAGAATAATATTTTTACCACATTTTATTTTTCATTGATAGATATTAGATATTAATTTTGAGTACTTATTGTTTCTCTTAATAATCACTTACACATTTTTTTAGTCCAATTTTCTTTTTTTTCATTAAAAAGGAAGCACTTTGTAATTTCGTGATATTTTTATTAAATTGAAACTTACAATAAGTATTTCTTTTAAGATCGTTAATTTTATGTTATCTTAAACTAAAATTTTTTTCGATACTTAAATAAAGGCACGTACGTACATAATATATGGATATATCGGTGAAATTATGTATAGTTATTTTATAAAATAATATAATATAACCCAATTTAATCGATAGAATATTTTAATGTAATATGAATTACTAAAATTACTATTGCATTCTTGTTTAAAAATTTGTTATATGATGTATATTTGCAAAATATTTAAGTATTTTTTATAATGATCAATGTGTATTCTTTAATTATTTTAACAGTAAATTAATTATTTTATAAATCTTACTCATAAACTCTAAATTCGCGCTTAAATATTTTATTTATTTTGAATTCATTATCTTTATTTATGTTACAATTATTTTGCAGCAACGCTTTTTTCATGATATCATTTTAGCATTTAATAATTGTGAACTATTGAAATTTTTTATTTTTTTTTTTTTTTTTTTTTTTTTTTTTTTT